AAACACAAGAAGGAGCGAAAAAACACACAATCGAAGCACCAACGAAAATCAACGAACAAGACTCAAGCTGAGTCAGACAATAACAGCGCTCAGCTGAAGCAAAACTGAAACAAAAAAATAAAACGGTGAAGCTTAAAAAACGGAACATGTAACACTGGAGTGTCATCGGGAATTTATCAAAACAAACGTTCAGATCGTGATAAAATAATATAAACGGTCGTAATTATATTATGGAGAAAATGTTCAGTCCGGAGATCCTCTCGTCTAAAAACGCTTTCGTATAATTGAACTTAATGTGTTTCGTTGCCATCATCTTTTTCGACCATGTGCACGGACCGAGTACACATCAATACTTTACGCTCTTTTGATTTGCTTCAATTTTGTGCCGGAACATTTATCCGTGTGTTCTTTTTTTTGCTTGTATTTTTCTACGTGTCGGTTTTTCAACTGGCTCGTGCATTTTTCTTTTCTTTGAGAAAAATGCAGCAAAGCCCTTATCTGTGCGATATTTTAAATTCATTACATACTCTGCTTGTGTTTTTACGGTAATTTTTTTTTCGTTTATTTGCTATGGAGAAACTCACACATCACTGTGTCCAAACACATGAAATGTTTTTTTTTTCTTTTCTTCTTTCATATATGCTTTGATAACAAAGCTCAACTACAATTGAAGGATTAGAGGACAAAAAAAAACGTCAAGTATTTTATACCTTTCCCTTATCAACTAATTACCTAAATAAATGCAAAACCCATCACTGTCAATATTGTGCTGGTTTCAAAAATACGATATGAATGATTCAAAGTTTTAAAATGAAATGTTCCAAAAATCAAACAGGAAAAATATGGGTCCAATTTCAACCGATATTGATCGCTCAAAACAACAACACAAAATCAACTTGTAGACAAAAACGGAAAAAGAAGGAACAAAAAATGTCAACGGAATAAAATATTCTTACAAACGATGTAACGATGTAAATATTTCTACTGGATGCGGTCAGCATTAATACTAGTACAGGAAGGATTACATGAATTAATTGATGACAACTGAGAAAACGAAATAAAAACACTGTCAGAACGGAACAATAATTGGGCTCTATCATTTTAATTGTTAAGTTATGCAATCGTCGGTGTGTTTGTGTGTGTGTGACACTGTGTGTGTTTTTTTTTTGGAAGAGAAACTTATTCCAGGAATGATTTAATGTATGATGCATTTTTATCTATGCCGGAAACTTTTCGCCGTTCCGTGCACGATTTCCACCTTGATTTACGTGGCTTTTGTCGTCGTATTAAACATTTTTTTTGCTCTGCTTTCACACTTGCTTTATGAAACCTCATTTTCACGTAAAACGTACGCTGATGCGAAGCCATTTTTATTTTCATGTAATATTTTTGAATGTTCTCTCTCTCTCTTGTTTGTCATGGATTTTCGAATAATCAAGTGAGTCATGAAACCAAAATTTTTATCACGATTTTGGTGGCCGCACACTAAAAGCTGCATTCATTCAACAGAATCTCGTTATTATTCTTCATTTCTTGTAGAAGATTCCTGTCTTTCATTTTTCATTTTGACCTTTTTGCTACATTTTTGTTTCATTTCCATTCTTGCAATGACAATGACGACGACGTGAAAGCTACTACTCGAATCTCATAAAACGCAAATGTCAAACAGTTCTCGTTTCCGTTTGGCGGATGTCACCCCAAAATGGAAATAAAGCAAAAGTGAATTTTTTGTCGGAAGTATCGCATTTGATTTGTTTTCTGTTTGTCTTATTTGAATGTCAATAAAAGTTATGGAGTTCCCCCATATTTCTCGTTCGGAAGCAGAACATGGTCTGAGTTGGTTGGTATCAAGCAAACGGCATGGAAACATGAGTACAGGAATACACATAGGAAATTTGAGTTTCCCATTTGAAAAAAAAGAAGAAGCAGAAAAAAACATTGTACAGCAGCCATGGTGTTTGCATGTTTTGCAACAGCACCCCTTTCCATCTATGCACAAAAGAGTTTAGAAATCATCTTTTAAATCCTCATTTTGGTTTAATCATGATCTAAAATGCCTCATATATGCGGCATACAACGTACACCACATGTACACAAGCCATACTTTTATAAAATGGTTACTAACGTACATGCTGCTCTTATGCTTAATATGCTGTTTTACAAGAATATTTCCATATTATGGCAATACAGACGACGTGCCTTCAAAGGGTGAGAGCGCACGAAAAAACCAGCCGGAGAATAAAATAAAGCGAGCAAGAGAGAGAGAGATAGAAAGAGCGGAACTCATAATGAAGTGGCTGCTCTCAGAATTATCGGCAAGTCATGTAACTGCATTACGCCACCACGTACGTCGTCAGCGTAACAGATAATTTTATTAGGGAGGATTGGTGGGGAGAGAGTGTGAATATGATGGCGGCATGTAATGTCTATGTGATGCACATTATGCGCGTAAATAAAAGTTGCTGTGATAAAACTTACTTATTTATGGGGCCTCTCTCTATATATTTTTTCTTCATATCTACGTGCTTCGGATTATCTCAAGTGGCTTTTAGTGGTGGCGGTGATGATGCTGCTGCTATCTTTTTTACCTTCTCGCCGCTTGTTTTTGTTGATTTGATGCCCATTTCAGCAGGTTATTTATTTGCATTGCTCAATTATTGATAATACAGCGAAGCCACTTTTCGACTAAATCCTCGGTAATAATTCAATTACAGTAATTTCACATTTCGTATGAATGCTAAACAGCGCAGAAAAAAAAACCTTTTACTCAGCGACGCACGTCACCATTTGATCGGCTGGTACACAGCACATTTCACCATTTGCTACTTCGGTCATACATTCGTTCATGCGAATCAAAGCAAACTGTGGCTCGTGTGTACGGTTTACCAGTTACAACGTGTGTGCGAAGCTGTCGAATTATTGCGAAGTGAATTGTCGTCTTAGTTCGCGCCTCATGTACACACTTTCTAACTGGTAAGCCGTACTCACACTATACTCGCATCAACGAATATATGACCGAAGTCGCAACTGGTGAAATGTGCTGTGTACCAGCCAAAATTCTGGTAACGCGTATCGCTGAGTAACCGTCATGCAGCAAAAGCAATTTGCCAACATCACCATCACCACCACCACCATCATCATCACGCAAAACACTCGAAGCGGATAATAATAATGATCGATTTTAAGCGCACTATTCCATTGCCGCTCAACGCTTCCACTGATGCGGGACGCGCTTGAGATCCACTCAAAACACATCAGATATTTGATTGAGTAGATTATGGCTTGATTTGCACACGAATAACTTCTTTTCACACAACACCATTCACTGATGGATTACACAATTCTTTGATCTACAAAAGAATATACTATGCTTATATATTCTTCCGTTTTTTTTTTTCACTCGCAAGCAGCAGCAGAACAAAGAAATGTTAAATACGTTTAAAAAAAAAGTTTTTGCATCTTAAATACCAATCAAATGGCTGAATCTTTGCATTTTTAGCATCATCGTTTAAATGATTTGGAGATAGGGGATCAAAAAGAAGCATTTTCAGACACAACGAAAATAAAACAGATCCATAAATAAACTGGAGCCTATTCAGATACACACGTAATATTATTGAGAAAAAAAAATAACTGGCATCAAGTATTTTTGTTTGATCGAAAATATGCTCGACGAACAAAAACTATGTGAAATCATCGCTCAAATAACTCGATAAAGTTACTTGAATCGTTCTTCTTCTCGTATCATTTTTTTTACTCGTTCCTTTCTATGTGTGCAGTAAACACAATTATTTTCGATTGGTCCCACGTGGAAAATCTAGCCGAAATGTGATGTGCAATTTTCCCACAGCGAGCAATTAGTCTGTGTGTAATGCAACAAGTAAACAATATATAAGCGCATAAGTAAGTGGCGTGCGGTGCAATGAAAATTTTTTGATTCCAAGAAATGCATTTTCCCAACATGTAATTCACTTATTCAAATCAAGTTGACTTACAAATCACATAAACCACACCGCACGAAGAATGAAAGAGGAAGAAAAAAGCACACACACACACACACACACACGACGGCACGAGAGATGCACGCCAATGTTATGCAAATTCGCAACGTTCATTCGTCGAGCATATTTTTCGAGCTGCACAAAAATAAACGGCTGTTAGCAAATCGAAAAATGGTTTAGCTTGAATAAAATGCGGTTTCGGATTGAATGCAATGGAAACGAAAACGAAACAAAACAAAACTAAAACGAGAAGAAAAATAAAGAGAAGTTTCGACACAAACACACGAACACAAAGAGAAAAAAAAAAAGCAACGTATGAATTTTTTACTTGTTTATCCATTTAAACTGATCCAGAAATAATATGAGATAAAGTCACCGGGCAAAAGACTTTATAATCAACTTGTATGAAGAATTTTATCAAAATTTAGCATTGGACGGAACAAACGTTTGTCAAATGTTCATTTCAAAGGCAGCTTTTTAGCAAATGTAGAATGAATTTCAAAAACCAAACGAAAAGAATAAAACAAGGGAGAAAAACGATGACAAACGAAAAATTACATCTGATATGCATCAATCTGATAAAATTGCCCATTACTTCGAGCGTTGGTTTTTACTTCATCACTGATTATTATTTATTTATTTTTTGATTAAATTTGTTAGGAGAAACAATCTAATCTAAGTCTCAACATTCGAATTTCAGCTTTCATATGAATAATATGAATTACGGTTATGCAGAATTACATTTAATTTTTTTAAAAAAGAGTTAAATTACTGGTATTGTTAATTATTTTGATTTTTTTTTGTTTTTTTTTGTGTGTGTATGGTTGTGGCCTTAATTATTGATTTCTGTTTCAATACAAGACAAATAAAATGAAAATGGGTTTCTTTTTGTTTGGCACCTTGAATCCGTACGATTGAACGGTTTTAAAGTGAAATCGCTTTACCTTAAACCCATCGTTACAATAAGTACCCTTTACAACCCGCCGTAATAATAAGTACCTTAAAACCGTCTGAAAATTTTGAAAAGAATGTTAAAACGCATGTGAGTGTGTGTGATATGTATACAATCTGCATAACAGACCATATGTCCAACTGCCTAGTTTCAAAACGCATGTCTGCACATCATATGGAAAATATTCAACATCAATTGAACACGACGATTTATATACGGCAGGTGGTTGCCAGTTCACAAGGCCGGTGCTATAAACGGTGCTCTTAGTCATTAGCGTAACTTCAATTAGTCATAGAATAATAATATTATTATTATTAATACGATTGCATTTGATTAGATTATATGGAATGTGATTATTATATTATTATTAATAATAATAATATTACCTTCATAGTGACCGTCGGCGCTGTGAAAAAAATGTTTAATCTTAATGATTTTCGTTTTGACAGTATTTTCTTAAATAGTTTTTTTTTTTTGGTTATGTTTTTGTGTGGAGGAATTTTTTATTTTTTTTTATTCAACAAAAAGCAAAAACGAAAACAAACTTGATCTGAAGGGTAAAATTGTTACTTTCTTATGCATTATTCGCATTTGTACGTGTGAAAAAAATGGAATATCCGTTCGACGGAACTGATTATGTTAATAGAAGATTTGAGCTTCAATTTGATGCTTGCATGTTGCTAATTAACATGAGTACGACGGAGTGAGACAATGAAGTATATCAAAAGAGACAAAATAAATTCAAATTCAATTTGAAACAGACAACCGGTGAAACGCTGTGTCGAAATTAAATCGAAGTGACGTTGAATAAATGGCGATCACGTGGAGAGGAAAAAGTTTTGCGCATAATTTTCAAAGAAATGACAAATAACACATAAAACCACGTCCCATGAATAATCTGTTTGAATGTAAATTGTGTGGCGTCATTCATTGAAATCTCGGTCACGAATTGCACGCTCATCAACAGTATATGAGATCATTTCCACCTTTTGGGAGATAGGATTGACCGCCGCCAAATCCGGCACTCAATCCGGAAGAAATGAATGTAATTTCTCTTCGTTTCTTTAACGCACGATTCTTAATTAAATGTATAGAAAAAAAACGACGGTTAATTTGAAACGTGCTTTTGAATCGAATTTAAATTCTGCCACAAAATGCCTGCGTTTGAACGTAATGTTTTCTCCATATCATTACAATGCACCCTGACAGAAGAATATCTTTGCGAATAGTTTGGTTGAACTCAAACCCCGGATGACGATGATTGCGAAACGTTTGCGTATGATGAATATTCGAAGGTGAAAGACACAGAGAAAAAAACATCCACTATTTAATTACACTTGAAACTTGTGTCAATGACAATGCGCGAAGTAAATTAACTAAAATTATAATTCGACATTCAATGCGTCCGAATACGCTGCTGACATACAATAAACCTTTCCCCATCTTCTGGCAAACAAATGGAGTTTGTGATGATGAAAACACTTGAAAATCAAAAACGTCATTCACGGCTTTAGTGCTGTGATTCGAAGTCAAAGCCTTTACATTAAAAGCTTTTCACACCATCACCATCACCGCACTAAGCACTTTATACCTTTAAACGAATCGTTGGTTCTACGCGTGAATGATTTGAAATTGAAATTGAAGCCAAGTTTCGAATATATTCAGAAATGAAGATCAACTAAGCCTAAAATCTCTTAAAGTTGTGTTCAAATCAACATTTATTCCCTTAAATCACTTTCTTTCTATATTATAAACAAGTCAACGCTCTCTCTCTCTCTCTCTCTCTCGAACCATCATGAATGCATCAATGTTTTGGGTTCGAGGATTCGACGTTTTATATAGATTTTCGTTTGTCATAGACTTGCGCTCCGTTTGGTATGATGATTCAAAAATGTGTGTTTTTCATTTTTTTTTCGCTACGAGAGATGGTTCTGCACCAAAATCCATCCTCAAATTAAAATTGAAATTAAAAACTCTATACATAATTGATTCATATTTTCTGCTGCTGCTGTTGTTGTTAGCAACAAGCGTCTAGTAATCTTTGCATGTTTGAGTTTTGAGCGAGTTCTGCCAGTCAAGTCCATTTAACCGTATTTGCTTAACATATTTATATTTTTGAATTGTGTGTGTGAGTTTTTTTTTCCATCAAATTCTCATATTCCGCAATTTTAAATTGTTCTGCTCGCGTAACAAATAAAAAATTATCCATGCACATAAATTTACATCACTGAACTGAAATAAAACGGTGTAATTAATATAAATGAAAATGAACGGAAAATAATGGAAATGAAACAACAACAACAGAAAAATGAAATTATCCACAAAAAAGTAAGAAGAAGAAGAAGAAGAAGAAGAAAAAAGAATCGGACCCAAAAAAACCGAAAAATAATTTTTATTTTCTGTAGGGTTAAGGGCAGGTAAAAATAGAGTTGTACGAACAATAAACAAATTATGTACAGCAATTATGTGTTTACGGATTCACTCGATTACGTGTGATGTGGTGTACGGTACATGAGACAAGAGACAAACAATTAAACAGGGCAACCGGGAGATAGGTGAAACATTGTCGGTGTATTGTGATTTTGCATGAAATGAATAACGAGCGAACGGACACAAAATATATTTATCTGATAAAAGAAACGAAAAAAAGAAACCGAAATGAGAACTGAAATATGAAGGAATTCAACAATTGAACCGGATTAAAAGTCAAGAACGAGATCCCTTCTGGTGTCATTGGAATGCAATAAATGGATACATACAGATGTGTGGTATGTGTGTATGTGAGTGTTTGTGATATTTATCATATAATATACGTATATATGTATAAGATGTGGTGTGCACTTATTTACAAAAGAAAAAAAACAATGAACGGTATATTTGATAATTCTATGGAGCGGTTACTAAAACAAAAACAATGTGTTGAAACGTTATATTTTCATTCGCCTATCAAACCAAAAACAGAAGAAACAAAATATCCTTGCTATTCGTTATAAACACACAAAAAAAATCTCGTTGAAATTCTTTTTCGGTGAATGTGAAATGTAGCAATGACGGTGGCGGAAGCGGCGGCGTTAGCGGCAACACATATTTTCGTAAGCATAGTTCGCCTGCATGCATATTCGCTCACTCTAAATTGTCTTATTCGCATCTCATCCGCCCAATAATTTGATTCATTTTGTGAGAAACTTGAAGAATATTCCGAATTCTCAAGTTTTTCCCACGGTTTTGTTTGTTCGTATGATAGAATGGGTTTGAAATGGGTTTTTCCATATTCTTTTCGACGCGTTCTATCACGTTGATGAAGTTCTGAAGCCTCGATTATTTTTTTTTTTCGTTTGATAATATGAAATTGCTTGCTTAATCGAGGGAACGCAATTGAAATGGTTAGAGTTTAACAAACGACCAACAAATCGAATCATATCAAGAATTTGTGAGGTTATCGAAACCGCATTGAAGATTCTTTGAGGCCATAATTTGCGAGTAAAAATTCGGGGAGTGGGGAAGGAGCTGGTGAAAAAACCAGATGTAGTACCGCAAACCAATGTACATAGAAGATACACACACAATTGTGGAATTCACATATCATGAACTTTGTTGGAAACATACTTCAAACGAGATATAGAATATTGTCTGGAAGAAACGAAGTGCACTGAAGCTTCTGAACATATAATAAAAATCGAATCGCAAATTTGCTTCGAACAATTTCTGATGAAATTTCCTTTGGATGTGCAATGAAACGCGAAAAGCGCAATATGCACACACATACATCGACTGGAAGAGACATGAATCGAGAAAAAAAAAACAACACTCATGCGGATATCGGACGAAATTGCCGAAGAAATTGAATGAAGCATACGCCAAAATACACGAACCGAAATAGAAGTTGCTGTAGTTGAAGAAGACGGCAACACAACACAAGGGAATGGGCACGAAAAACCGGGAGTGAAAGAAAGAGAGTGAGAGAGAAATCTCCGAGTATAGTAGTTTTTTTGGATACGTCAAATCGCGCGCGTCAGATAAAAGTGGAAAGCATATATACACATTCGTTGGGAAAAACAAACATAGCTCGTTCGCGCTGAGAAGTGCAAACAGTAATTTTTCGTCGCATAAAGGCGATCGAAGTCGATGCTTTTTGTGTGTGATTGCCTGTGTATATGTGTAAATCTGACGATTTTTTTCTTCTTCGACATTATTTTCTGCGATTTGGTCGTTGTGTGTGTGTGTGTGCGTTTGTGTGTGCGTTGTGTAAGTGGTTGAAATGTGTGTTTAATCCGAAAATATACCACATCTAATAGATTGTGTGGCCCATCGACGGACGCGAAATTGACAGAGTGGTTCGCTCCAATGTACAATTTGGCAATAATCAATTGCACGTATTGTCAATTTTACACATAAAAAAAGGGACCATGTATGAGAGCGCGCGATACATAAATGAAATTTGTACGCTTTAAATAGTTTGGTGGATAAGCATCTAATATTGCAAAGCGCTTACGGCCGTTTTCTCTCTTTCTCTGGTATCGAATGTGCTATGTGTATACAATAGATCGCATCGAAAGATCTTGAGATATTTTATTCTATTTCGCTGGTATAGTAGTTTCTTGCACAATATTTTTTTTCATTGGCTTGTTTGCTTGCTCTCTTTCTCTCTTGTGATATGCTCGTGTGCTTATTGTGTTCAAATAAAAAACAACATTAGATTATGTTTACATATATACTGAATTTCAGGCAAACGTACAGAGAGAAAAAAAGAAACCGAAATGTTGTTCACGTTCAATGATTTTACATCGTTTTATAGCGATGTTTTTATACCGCTTATTGGGAGTGCGATCGGCGATGCACGTTATGTGCGAGTTTTTTGTTGTTGTTATTGCTCTTTTGAATTCAAACTTGTGGTGTATAGTGTTTTTTTCTTTTCACTTCAAGTATCGACGAAAATCAGTGAGAGTATGTTTGTTGTATTATGTGTGTATGTATTTGTGTTTGTGCAGAAACCAAAGATATTGAAATGGAAATACATTTAAATTAAAGCATATGTGAATAGACGAAGAGGAAAGTAAAATCAAGAAGATGATAAGTAAATGAAAAAAAAATGCGAGAATTTTTTTTTTCAAGGCTGATGACATTGCGGTTTATTCATAATATACTATTTGAAAAGTAGGAAAAATTTTATTGAGAGATAAAAAGACCGGAAAAGATGGAAAAAAAATATTTATATAACCGAAGAAGAAGGAGAAGGGTAATCAATCAAATGCAATCAATATGTTATTAGGGACGAGAAGTAAATCTCGTTATGAATGATTTAATCGAAATGAGCGAGAAAATCAAATGATTGCGAATCGATTGTGACATAACGAAAAGCGAAGAAAGATCAAATTAAAGAGATTATGGCAATTTAATAGGAATTGAAGGCAAACAAAAGGAAAGAAGATAGAGAAAGAGAAAGACAGAGCGAACTCAATTATGAATAGAAAGTGCAAATATTTGTGTGTTGTATTTGGTTCGTGGCATGCGAATACGTACACATTCGTATGCTATCGCTTTGTTAATGTCTCTGTGTGTTTTTTTTTTGTAAAATGTGCGGTGTGCATTTTGTTTGTGTGTTTCTTCGTTGGTTCGTGTATTTTCTGGTCGCCCTCTCTCCAGCCCCCAACTCCCAAAATACCTCATACGGGCGGATGGGTGATTTAATGAATTCACAAATAGCACAAACACATTTGGTGCGTATGGAAAGCAAACAAAATGCACACAATCATTTGACGGTCGCGTTTTTTTTTACTTCGCGTATTTGTCGGAGGGTAAAAAAAAATGTCTGTTAAAGTCATCAGTACAGGAGCCGGTAGAAAATATATATGGCGGACAGAATTAAAAACCGGATCTAGTTAACAAACCAAATTGGATATATGTATGTGTGTGTGTGTGTGTGTGTGTGTGGTTTGCATTAGAATGAAAATGAAAGGAAGTTTCATAACAAAAGAAACGAAAATGGAACAAACTTCGAAAACGAACCCATTGATTCCAAAATGCGCAAAGACTTTGAAAATCAAACAGAGACAAAAAAGAAACCGAACGAAAAAAAGAACAAACTGAACTAGAGAGAAGAAAAATAAAATGAAACTAAATAAAAGCATAAGCTCAAATTCATAAATCAAATATTTCATATTATATATAGAGATAGATAGATAGATATATAGATATATATGTATATATGTAGATTGAGATGTGGGGGAAACGCGGGCGCATACACAGAGCACATCTCAAGGTTTTTTTTTCGATTTTGAATATCAAATGTATATGTGTGAGATAAAATTGAAATGTAATTATATACAGAAATTGTTTGAACGATGTGTCCTGCAACTATATAAAGAGCTTTAATTTCTATCTGATTCTGATTTAGCTCGAATTCTTCTTTGCACAAATTTGTTGTTTGTTTGTGTGTGAGTATGTTGTCGCCGTAAACGATGTATTTCTATGATTCGATTACAATTGGCATTTTTGTATATGTACAGTAGAAATGTTTTGCCTTATTGTTTTTGGTTTTGTTCTATCATGTTCACAAGGGGAGATCAAATCGAGAGAGAGAGAGAGAGAGAGAGAGAGAGATGATAAAGCAACAATAACAATAGCAACATCAAAAAAGCTTCTATTTTTTTGGAACAGGATCAACGTGCTATGCGTTAGAATTTTTACTCGGAAATTTGATATAAGCAAGTTTGCTGTGGAGTATAGTATACAGCGGGTATAATAGCAATCAATATGATATTCATGAGAGAAAGAAATGCATTTTTACAAAGCCTTTTTTTTAACCGATTTACTACATCCTCTTTCCCTCTTTCCCTCTCACCCTCTCTGCACGAAGAGACATTAAATCAAGTAGGGCAGAGGGAAGAGGAAGCAAATAGAATGAGTTTGATCCAGATTTTTCTTCGGCCAAACCGTGAAATAATATAAATGATGCTATGATCGCGGTCGCGTTAAGGAAATCCTCATTCTCAACATGAAACGATTTTCTAATCTCTTCGTCAGTGGATGAATTATTCATGTCGTTTGCATCCAAATGAACGTTGATCCTGTTCGCAAATAGAGCCCCTTGAGCTTTGTATATTGTCTTTCGATTTCGTTTGGTTTCTTGTTATTTGGTTCTTTTTTTTTATTTTTGTGTAAATTGTTGTTGTTTTGTGCAGATTGTGCTATTATTTCTCATTTCATTTTCTCTGTCTCGATTTGCAATTTGCATCCTCACCTTGTGCACTTACGAGCGAGCAAAATGAATATGGTATATTTCGAAATAATTGATATTAATGTAATTGTAATTGCAATTCAATCGGTAAATGTTATAATACTTATAATATGTTAGTATGTGTGTCTTTTTTTTTTGGTTTTGGTTTTGCAATATTAATAGATATCATTATCATTATGTAATATAGTACGGATGCATACGGTGTATTTGTTTTTAAAACGTGAAACGTGAAATGAGAGATTAAACGGTTTCAAAGTGTTCGCTTTACCTTAAACCCATCGTTATAATATAAGTACCTTAAAACCGTCGTAATAATAAAAACCTTAAAACCGTGGTAATAATAAGTACCTTAAAACCGTCTGAAAATTTTGAAAAGAATGTTAAAACGCATTGTATGTTTGTTTTGTGTGTTTTTGTGATATGTATACGTCTGCATACAACACATACCATATGTCCAACTGCCAAATTTCAAAACACACGTTTGTTCATCGAACGGAAAATATTCTACATCTATTTCACAAGACGATTTGTAAATGGCTGGTGGCTTCCATTCCACCAAACCCTGGCTGTAAATGGTTGCCTTCGTAGCTAACGTAACTTTGGATGTCATAGAACAATATTATTATTATTAATTTCATAGGTGGTAATTATTTGATTATTATTATTATTGGTAATATGATTACCTTCAAAGTGACCGTCGGCGCTGTTAAAAAAAAATTGGGTTTAATCTTAATGATGTTCGTTTTGTCAGTTTTAGCATAAATTTATGTGTTTGTGTGGAGGAAATTTGGATTTATTCTTCTCTCTTTTTGGATGAATAAAAATTAAAATACAAATCCAGAGGTTTGTCGCTGCATTACTGTATATGCGTACGATATGCTCAGACAATGTATTTGGCTAATGTCAGCTAGCTAACTAAAAACATTCTGGCTAGCTCAGCGGCTGAATTCTATGCGTTGCGTTTTTTCATCGCAATCTGTAGTACAGAAATCATATATATGGAGCTTTTTGTTTTTTCATGTACCGTTATTTGTCAACAAGTCTGCCTATGCCACTGAACATAGTATACAGCCCATAAGAAATGTAAAATTTTCGCCATTTATTTTTACATTGCCATTACATTAGTTATGGGGATTTTTGTTTTGTTTATTTTTTGTTGTTTGTAAACAAATCTGCCTATCTTTTTGCATTGTCACTGCGCATTGTGCATAGTATATGTCCATAGGAAATTCCAACGCATAAAATTCAGCCGCTGAGCCAGCCAGAATGTTTTCAGTTAGCTAACTGACATTAGTCAAATACATTCTCTGGATATGCTAAACTCAATAGCATACTGTATACCTAATAATACGTTGACGAACCTCTGTTGAAAACAAACTTGATGCGATTGAAGGATATATCTAGTAATGTTGCTTTTTTCCCTTTACTCGCTTGTACGTTTGAAGAAAATGAAATAGACGTTGGATATCGTACTTCCAGCCTAACATGGTTGATATATTATGTATCTAAACTGAGAAGATTACTCTGAATGAGTATGACACAATGCAGATTTCCTGTGGCAATATCAAACATCTGGAAGAAGCGAAATGCAAACAGCGCACGCTATACGCATATCGCCGAAAAGGAACTTGAACGTGTTTTACCATAGCTGAGTGAATTATGACAAAAGAAACACCAACATGTAATATCCAAATGATCAATGTAAACAAGTGTGATGGCAAACTAATTGGCAACATAAATTCATGGTGCAAACACTCTTCAGTTGGATTGTGTATTTTTGTTTTTGTTTCAATTCGGTGTTATTCTTTGTGTCATTTCGCCAATTGTCTTCCGTTCAACGAAGTAGTCGTGATGCAATTGCTGATGATGGACTGTATTCATTCCGGTTGGAATGGAATTTCGAATATTTTAGAATTTTTATAACGAAAAAAAAAAATGATTTGATTCGACTCAAACTGGAGGTTTGAATTTTTACAGTGAAATAATGATAGTTTTCATTGTTTCGCTCATTAAAATAGAGATAAATATTTCATGTTTACAGCGCCCGCATCGATGTATATCTGAATAAGGAAACTTTTAATGGTTCTGCTGAAATCAAAACTTCGAAATTTCCGTCAGCACTAAGGTGTTAATTTGGCGAATATTTTTTTTTATGTCATAACCTAAATTACAGATATTCAATATGATAGTTAAGCAATAATGCTATGGATTTTTTAATGTGCCCCTATTTTTATCTTTTTTTTCGTAAATGAAAGTATTTCCCATTTCCTTCAAAACCTCACAATTCCTTTTGTTCTCAGTAACAACATTTTCGCAAGTAAGCGCTTATTTTTGTGATAATTTAGATTCTATTTCGACGATATATTTTTGTTTTGGTCTTGTTGTTGTTTCATTTATCCCAATAGATCTCTATTCAAATTGGTTTTCATCTGATTTTCGGTTCTAATGCTAAAAATGTGTAATGGTGCACGAAGCACGGAGATATATAAGTAAAGCGGCCGGAAAACAATATAAGTAGATAAATAACATTCAGTACACAGATAGTTAAGAGTATTTGAGTTTTCCACAAAATCGATCTTCGATTTTGATTTTATTCTTCGTCGCTTTTTTTTCCTTCTTTGCATTAATCTGAGATTATCCCTCGCTTCCTCTCGGTTGACTCGGCACTCTCTCATTTTAATTGGTATGATATGGTGTGTATGTGTGTGAGTTAGACTGCTTCAAAAAAAAAAAAGTTGTCCCTCATCTGAAAAGTCCAGCCAGTTTCGAAAAATATACCTCAAAAAAATAGGTTTTGTCTAAAAAACGACATGGGTACCATAGAAATTGGTGAAGCAAGCCCCATATCAAAATTTTGATGACAGAGTTTTCGGAAGCCAATTCATATCGCAACATTTCGACTTAAATCATTTTTCCAGCCAATTATCGGCAAAAACTGATGATAGGGTTTTGTCTGACTCGTCAATATCTACAACTTTTGCCAAGACATTAGCCCTTGAAAAGGCATTCTGGGCCAGTTACAGTGTGAAATGACCAAGAAAATGACAATTTTTCGGCATTTTTTGCATTTTTCGCTCTACTGGTCACCCAGGCGGTAGACTTTTGTTCAGTTTTTGACTTGTGTCGTGTAGCTAGAACCTATACAAACATTTTGGCACTTGTCAGATTGCAATTTGAATGAAATTTGGCGACAATTGATTCACACATATAAGACAAATTTCAGGTCAAAATGAGCAAATCACAAACATGAGCTTCGGTTTGACAGGTAAAAGCAAATGATTTCTACCTGTTCTGCCTTTGAACATCTAGTATGATCCCTTGCAAACATTTTAAGTACTAACACGACCAAATCGAGTGATATTTTCACATATTTCTGGCCTCATATTCGATTTCAACTCCCAAAAAATCGACTTTTGACTAAAAAATTCTTAAGTATAGGCTTTTTAGGGATGGTGTCTTGGTGTAATGTTATTTTTTCCCGAAAATATGGGGA